ACAATATTAGCAATGCTACTACTGTGAGAAAACAGGCTGCCTTTCCTTGGTGGTTACTCATGTACCAAGTATTGTCCCACCTTACTAAGGTCTCTTGAGGGAAGAAAAGAGAGAAGCAGTATGTAGTTTAACACTTGCACCAAAAGTATAGCACTCAGAAAAATAATGCAGTTTTCTCAGAACCTTCCCTCTGTGTCCTGGACTTTTTCCTGATAAGAACTGCCTCTCAGGTTGCAAAAGACTGGGGCAGAGGGTTTAGGAAGAATAATACTATTCTTGCATTTGGAAATGAGATATGAAAGCAGTTACTTCTATAATGAGTTTGTTTGCAGGGTTTTTTTTATAGCAACACTGGGCTGTGACCTAAAGGGCTGATGAAACTGTCAAATGGGTTTGACCATGAAATAGTTTTTAGCTTCACACTTAAAAGTCTTTAAACAGATTGCTCTTACTGTAGTGATTGACCCAGCTCTCTCAATGTCCTTGCTTGGGTAGACGTTAATGCAAGTGGACCATGGCATGTGTTATTCCAGTAGCCCCACACTGCTTGCCTTTCATTCACCATCAGGAAATGAATTATGGCTGGGTAGACTCCTGTCACTGCAGTGGTCTGAAACTGGGTCTTGAAGCTTCTCTGGAAGCATTGATGATAAAAGTTGAATGCAAAGTTTTTCTTTCATTTCTATTACCAGGCCCTACCCAGCAGAATTGCATTGAACCATAACTGTAGTTTGACTCTTGGGGAAAGTCTGCACATAAAGCAATTACAAAGCTTTGGTGCTAGCTAAGAGAGAATGCAAAGCTTCTATTGAGATTTAAAGTACTGAGTTAGTTTAATTGATTAGAAATACAAGGTGTTACTTTGAAGTGTTCTGTTGCTAGATGTTCTGCCTCTGAAGTAGCCCTGCTGACAAGGACTTTTGAGGAGTCCTTTCTGACCTCTTCACTTGCATCAGTTTATTGTTCCAAATATTAACTTTAAATTTTGAATCCTGGCTCCTCCTTGAAGTGAGTTCTTCTATTATCTAAGGTTCCTCCAAGCTGACAGTTGTCACAGATGGCTTGTTCTGTAATGTTATATCTATATCACTGTGAATAGCTAGAAAGAGAGGGACAGAGAAAAGTTGGGGAAAGAAAATTTACTTTGCTGTATGTGGGATTTTTTTTTTCATATTTTTTTGCCAAGTCAAAACTGCTGGACCTTTTCTGTTACTCTCTTCTTAGCAGAATTATAGACATCTGAGAGAAAAATCTGTGTTACTTCATCATGGTGAGATATGATAGGATCACTGGGATAAGGTTACAAAGATTGGTATTTAGATGTTTTGGCAATTTGTTTGCTATATTTTAAATTTCAAAGCTAGATCTGAAGCAAATTATTATTTGTCCCTTGATCAAAGTGCTGCTTTGAGTAAGAGGTCGAACCAAGTTTTTTTTTCAGAGGGACCTCCTTTGTAATGCTTTCTTTTTTGGGCCATTGTTTGTCTTTGCTCACTGTTATTTTGACTTTCAGCCAGAGGGTCCTTGTTTGCATCACTGTGCATGTTTATTTAAAATACATATTTCATCCTAAAATCTAAAACTTCTATTTTCATATTGCCTAAGAAAAAACTTGCTAATTACATATTTAAATTTCAATCTTATAATTCTTTGCAATGTAAGGTTACACATGATGTGGCTAAAATATTTTTTTTATTAACCTTTAATATTTTTTACAGAACTATTTTCCTGTCTATTTGTTATGTACTTATCTACTTTGTCACCAATAGACTTGTTAGTCATTGGGATGGCCTAGTTATAAAATGGTAGTTGTGTTATTTTTGCACACACGAGAGCAGGAATGGATTACATCAGCCTTGTTGATGGCTGAGGTCTAGCCAACAACTGAAAAAGAGTTAGAAAGCTTAGCACACTATGACTGATTGTTTCAACAAAACTTAAGCTTCATATACACTTAAAAAGACACTTTTCCTTTAGGGCTGAAACTTTCCCTTACACTTCTTGTAGAAGAAAAAAGTGTGTCCCATCCCCAGAGTGCTTTCTGTCAAAAGACAAGGAGACAGAATACGGCAGGCAGGACTATAGCTGGTAAAACAGAGAATCACAAATATGTGGTTATATTTTGTAGAAATTTGGGCTGCACCTCTCTGTTCTACACAGCTAGATGCAGAGCTGCTAACATGCAGTAAGTGCAATGTGTAGTCCACAACAAGTGAGATTTTAAAAAAGTAAGAGTTAACCACGTGTCTACTTCTGGCTCACTAGGATAAGACTTGTTTCCCTTTGTAAGGGAGAGGGATTGATGCAGAATACTGCTGACTTTGATGGCTGCTAGAGCCCTGCAGCTGAGATGAAATGGAAAGCATCATGCAGCACGAGCAAGCAGCTGCTCTCATTTACCCTGGACACCCACAAAGGGCTGAGCAGCCTTTGCCTTTGAATTGACATCATGTTCATGCTGGCAGCACCAAAACACTCAGTGTCTCATGAGAGTGGGGAAAAAAAAAAGACTATCTGATAGACAAGAGTCACCATTGTTATCAGGAGATGCAGTGTGCTTGATCCCTCTGTACTGAGGGAACAAAGGGCCTGGAGATCTGCCAGCTCTCTACAGGTAAGTAATCCTCTGCTGGCAGCAATTTTTCTTGCAACCATCAGTGGAGCAAGTTCATAAAAATCCTGTCATACTGTAGGAACTATTCTGGTAGCAGGCTATAGTTACGTAGCTCTAGCAAGTAAAGTGGTGTATGATGCCTGGTGTGATGCTAGAGAGGAGGATTTTGATCAGAAACCCATGGTGGGAAAAAAGGCTGTATAGTGCCAGTGAAAGAACATAAAGCTGAGAGGCCAGTACGGGATAGCAATAGGAAACCCCTTGATGAAGCATAGAATCCATCAGAATTAGCAGGTGTTTAAGGAAGCTAGTACTTTGTGGTTTAGGGTGCTGTTACAAGTGATCTGAGGGTCAGGTTTCTATGGCAATGCTGAAAATCATTCTTGGTTATCTACTTTTATTTTTGTGGCAGCATTTAGCATGTTTATTCCTAACAGGTTTGCTGTATAGCCTAAAGTAAGGTTGTCATAAAGCCAGAGGTCAGTTTTTGTTGCTTAGTCACCTTTAAACATTAACCTGAATAATTAAATTAGTCAAAAAAATTCTAGAGTAGGAGTGATTCCCACCTCTTAAAATTGAACGGAAGTTCCTCATATTTAAGATCAAGTCCACGTATGGTAGTAACAGCTATTGACTTGCATTTTAGAGCCTGACTCAAATGTGGAATTCCCTTTTTCTGGCATGTCAAGTAAATTTAGGTGTGCTTATAAACACTGCCCTCCTACAGACCTTAGAGCAGGGGAAAAGAAATTAATATTTTAGACTAGTGTTTTCACAGATTTTTCTTATACTTTTCAGTTGCAATTTCCAAAAACTTGACTGTGCTCGGTAGCACTCTACTTGCCTGGATACTTCATTCTTCATCTTGAGTCAGGAAGGCAGCAATATAGAGCTGAGTTGTGTCATCCCTAATATTTGTGCCCACATGGGCACAGTCAAGGGTTTTGCCCTTTGTTCCAGGGCAAGAACTCTTGGGGCTAGAGAAATCTGTGCCAACCCTAACCATATTTTTCTTTCATTCTTTCCTTAAGGCAAACTGCCTCTGCCAGATCCTCTTCTCTGCTGTCCATGTTTTCAGTTAATGTTTCACTGCAGATTCTGCTTGGCTGACGCAGGAACTCTCCCTAGTTTCCTAGTTTAGGGGTTTTTTTTATTTGTTTGTTTGCTTGTTTTTTACCTCCTGGACCAAACTGATAATAGTAAGATTTTAAAGTATTCTTCCAGCTATCCAAGTAGGTTCCCTCTCATTCTGCTACATCAGCATTTCTTGCAAATAATGGGGTTGTATTTGGGCAGTTGGTTCGCATAATCCATCAGACTCAAGGAATTTGATTGATTGCTGTTGCTGCCAGGGGACTGTACCTGCTGCTTGAAGGTACCTGTACCCCATCAGCAACGTGTGGTTTGTACTTGCTATTACATCCTGTCAACAACTGAGCAACTCATTTATTCATAAAACATGATCTGTCTTTTCTTGGCTCATGACTTCATGTTATTGCTGCCAGCTGCATTTCCTTCTTACCTGTCTGCACAGCAATTTGACTTAATTCAGTCATTGAGGAGGCTGTATACAGATACTTTACTCTGAGTAAAGCTTTAATCAATTTACCTGTTTCATTTCAATTTAGTTCGAAGTTTGAGGCAGTCCACAGCTGTGCTTGCTTTCTGTGGCCCAAGATCAAAAACTGTTTGTCCCAAAACCCCTGGGTTATTTCTTGTGTAAAGCAGTAGTAATTTTATGTGCTAGTCCCCCCATGCCTTGGGATGGGAATCTATCTGTTGTTATACATGCTGCTGTTCCCAACTACTTTTTATTTTCTCATTTATACATATGATCCTCTAAATCATCTTCCCTTGGTGACTTCAAATCTAATTCTCCATCACTTTCTGCAGATACAGCACCTATTTTTAATTTTTGCATCCTGATCTGCTTTTACAAGCATCTAATTTTAGCTTCACATTTAATATGATCAGGTTCCCTTGGAACTCTCCTTTGCTCTAGGGTGAATGGCTGCACTGTGCATGTTAATCCTTCTGCTGGATTCTGCTGCTTTATACTTCTATGGCTTTTCTTTCCCTTTTTCTGAATTAAAAATGCTATATTTCACTATTACCTCTATGAGCCACTAGACTGTATTCCTTTTTGAGTTCTGCAGTATTTTCTTTTAAAACAGTTTGCAGATCAAAGCAATTATTTTCTGATTTTACTCTGACTCTATCAACACAAAATGCTTTAGCTGCTCCCTCAACAGTCACAATAATACAGGAATTGTATCCTTGGGTTTCATTTTGTAATCATTCTACATGTAGCTAGAGAGCATTTATTCGATATCATGCCTGGTCCTATGAGCTGAAATGACACACCTTTTCTTCCACAGAGAGATGTCTGTAGCCTGGAAAATCTTTGGATTTTTTTTGACTTTTCTTATATTGCTCAGATTTTCAGTTGGCATCATTGGGGTGACACTAGTGGCTTGTCAAAGTCTCTACCTGCAATGACATAAAGCTTGTTGTGCAGCAAGGAAACAGAAGACTGGGCAAACTATAAAGGACAGATTCTGGCTATCTAATGAAAAAAAATCTCTTTCTGGTACCATACAAGAGCCATAGTCTGCACACAGCAGAAGAAGGCTGTTGATGTCTTCAGGTTGAATTTTAATTACTCTTACACAAGGGCTTCGTGGAGTGTTGCATCTCAGGAGCCTTCCCACTCTTCAAAAGGGCCAGTGTTGGCTTTGGGCTTTTTACTGACATGGTGTGTTTCTAGTGCTCCTGGAACACCTCACATTTACACCATGGAAACAGCCTGCAATTCAACTGGACATTTTACTGTGAGCTGGCCAGTAAACAAAGGTCTCTGATCAGAAGCAGAAGAGGAGAGAAAAGGACACAATATTCTAATAATGAGTCCAAAGGAGAAAAATAGAGATACAGACCTTCAATCTGCAGCAACTCAGAACTGAATCTGGTGTTATTGGAAGTTCCCAGTAGTGACTGTGGCATATGAGGCATCTTTATGACAGTGTACAAGCAATGACACCAGGCACAACACCAGCAGTGTTCCTGAAGAGTACTCATGCAGAAATAGGCATGGTACTGGCAAGGTCTCTTCCCAGAAGATCATGGATGCAGGTAGATCAGGCAGTTACAGTTAAAGAATAAAATAGTGTGTGCCAGTAGAGGAGATGAGGGTGATTATTTTTAGCTTTAGTTTCCACAGAGACTGTGCATCAAAAGTAATGATAAAGGACTAGCAGGCACAGGAGGCTTTTTACACTCAGCTCCATGAAGAGCATCTTGAGGATGAAGCTAGACCAAGAAATGAATTTTAGAAATGCCTTGCTAAAGTAAAAAAGCCAAGGGGCCTGTATCTTGACCTGAGGCCCTGGAAGCTCTTAATCAAGGAAGAAATTTAGTTTTGAACTTTACTGATTGTCTGGTTTAGCATGCGGCCAACATGGGCACTTCAGAGCTTTCAACTTTTACTTGATGGAAAGAGAGCAGGACTTCTGGAAACTTGGAATATCTCTCCTTTCTTCTTCAAGAGACCTTGAACCTATTTTTCAGTGAGCTACGTGGTTACTTGCATGGATTTACAGCAAGTGCAATAGACCTTCAGGCTGGAGTGACAGTTTTACCTGCAAGCTGGGCAGGACTGTGAAGGATCAGTCTCTTAAGGATTAATTCCTTGGGCTACCCTTCAGTTGCAACCATGTGCCATGACCCACAGCTAACAAAGCTGAAAGGACAGTGAATCTTTCATGCAAGAAGAGCCAGCAGAGTGATTACATCCAAATTCTGGCTGGAGGTACCCTGGGGCTGGCTGCAGCTTTATTTTGTTAAGTGGGTAAGTTCATGCTCTTTTAACTCTGGGGGAAAAGCTTCTGGTTCGGTAATGGGGCAGGATCTCTTCAGGAGCTTGTAAGAACATGGTACTAATTCAACACTGGCTGTGCTTGGGAGCATCCACCTTTATCCTGACTTACCTGTTGGAACAACACTGAAATATTTTCCTGAAATGCCTGTTACTTTAGTTCTTTGTTGATCATTTGAGCTGGCTCCCTCACTGAAAGAACAACAGTGAAGGAGAGAGGTGACAAAAGGGTATGAGGTACCAGGTGCAGCTCCACTGGTCCTGGAGGGTGCACTAAAGCAGGTTAGCTGTCAGGTGTCCCACAGAAACTATCCACTTTATGCAGACAGGGAGAGCTACACCTACGCTCTGCTCACTTCCCCCTTCCCTTTCATCTCCTTCAGAGCCAGTTGATTGGGGGTTGATAGGATGTCAAAACACGTCCTGGTATCAGGCAAAATAGTTGGGGAGATTCCTCATTGAGGTTTATATATCACTATTAGGACTCTGGTCTCTCTGGGCAGGCTCAGAAGATGTCCTCAGAGATCTAGGGTGGCTTTTGGGGTGATGATGAACAGACCAAGGTGCCTAATTTCTTCAAGCACTTTCAGAGCTGGGTAGCAGCCGAATAGGTTGTGTGGTTGCACATTTGGATTTTAGTCCTTACTTTTTAATCTTTGGTAGCACACAAACACTGCTGTATTTTGGTATAGAAAACAGCAAGAACTTCTAACAGAAGGTCAGTGGCAGAAACTGGTGTCAATTTTGATCTCTTTGAATGCAGTCACTTTTCTAAACTGCTTTTTTCCCTCCTGGAATTTTGGGGGAATTTCTGATCTTATAGATGCTTCTGCCACAGGCTGCATACTTTACCACCTGTAAGGATGTTTCAGGATAAGTACATTAGACAGCTATCCCTGGTACTGGTAGTTAATAGAGAAAGCTCAGCCTCCTCTGTAGGTGTTAGTGTGGTTATACTACTTGCATGAAGTGTGAAGATGCAATCAGGCTGGATATTGCAGGGAGGAGCATTTAGAAATTCAGTGTGAAAATGGATTGAATATGGTTCCTTATTGCTTTGGCATCCATGGCTCTGTAGAGAACTGCCAGAGTATCTCTTCCCCCCTGCTAGCTGCATGGATATAAAAGAGTAGTTGATGAAGTACAGGAGCATCCATCCTGTGGCTCAGATAAACAGCAAGAGATGGTTTCAGTTCAGTGTGGCGAAGAGAAGAGCTCAAAGTAAACAGAAAATAGGTCATTTGGTCGTTCCTGAAGTGACCCAGTGTGCTCTGCAACGGATTAATCCTATAAGGGGATCATCTCTTTCTGGAAACGCCTGCACCACTATGGTGCCTTACGGCCCGGCTCTTTTTCCTCGTTTTTCTCAAATTTACCTTTATTGCTGCCTTCGCCCTCTCTCCGGGACCCCTGCACCCGTCGATCCTCCGCTGGGCCGGGTGCGGGCAGGGGTACGAGATACCCCGAGAGGAGCATCCTCGGCCGGCGCCGCCTCTCCTCGGCCGAGCGCTGGGGGTCGGTGTTGCTCCGCGAAGCTGCGGCAGCGCCGGGGCCGCTCCCCGGGCAAGGGGGGACTCGGGTTGGGCTGGGGGAGCCGGGGCTGGGCCGGCACCAGGAGCAGGGCTCGGCCGGGGCAGTTCGGACACGCCGCAGCCGCGCTGCCGTGGGAGGAACGCCGCGTCTCAGCTTCCCTGTTCCAAGTGCGGGGCATTCCCTGCCTCCCTTTTTGCCAGCAGCGCCCGGAGGGCCCGGAGGAAGTTTCAGCTGACCGGTCACTGACAGGATGGCGGAGAGCCCTTCTCTGCCGTTGCCTTCGGTAACTGTAGGAGAGGAGAGATGGCTGGAGCGAGCTGGGACCAGGCCAGCAAAGGCGGTGCTGGAGCTTCTCTTCCTCCCAGCGCCAGTGTGGCCAGGTGGCAACGTATTGTGACAGAATCACAGAATAGTTAGGGTTGGAAGGGACCTCTGGAGATCATCAGTCCAACCCCCTTGCCAACGCAGGGTGACCTGGACCATGTCAAGGTGAGTTTGGAATGCCTCCAGAGAGGAGCAATCCATGACTTTCTTGTCATGGGCAGCCTGTTCAGTGCTCTATTGCCCTCAGCATAGAGAAGTTCTTAATTTTGAGGTGGAATTTCTTGTTTTTCAGTTTATAATCATTGCTCCTCATCCTCTCACTTGGAACCACTGAAAAGAGTCTGGCACCATCTTCTTGACATCCAACTTTGAGATAGTTATATGTATAGATGAGATCCCCTCTCAGTCTTCTCTGGACTAAACAGGCCCAGCTCCTGCAATCTCTCCTCATAAGAGAGATGTACCAGACCCTTAATCATCTTTGTTGCCCTCTGCTGGGCCTTAACCTTGTTTTTCTAATGACAGCCTATCTGGACCTCATAGCAGGCTGTGTCCAGAGCCGTGCTAATTGTGCACATCCAGCAGCCTGTGGGCCCACCAGCCCTGCTGCCTACAGGGACAGGAACCAGTCTGCAAACCCTCCCCAGTGGAGGTTCCTGTGCACCGGGATACTCACAACTCCTTTGGAAACAGCTGGCTGTCACAGCTGGCCAGCAGGCAGGGCACCATGGGCTGAGCCCGGTGCCGACACCTGGGCAGGGCAAGCTGTGCTGTGCCAGACAGGGCTAATCCAGGTGTGCCCTGTGCAAACACAGCATTGCTGCTCGTCTTTGCATGGCCCCAGCTGGTACCCACCATAAGGAATTGAAAATTAGGCACAACTGCATGGCCAGACCAAGCCATGCCTGCCTGTGTCGTTCACCAACTGCTATTTTCAAGCCTTGGAAATTAAGCATGCACCGCACCTCAAAATCAAATCCCAGAGCATCTATCAACCTGCAGGAGCTGGAGTTTGGTGCCAAAGAGCTGCTGAGTGGTATCATCCTTGAATAGCATTCAGAGTAAGATCTATTTATCTATTTTGATTTCAAGGGTGTCTTTCACTCAATAACAGAGTCACTGCAGAAACTCGCTGGTTTGTATTTGACTTCTTCAGTCTCCTGGCCAGGTCCATGCTTTTCTACAGGGTTGCTTTGAAGCACATCTCAGGACATGCTTCCAGATGCAGAATTACCCCAAGTCAGATCCCAGAAAGCATCCTGCAGACCTCGGAGCACTAACAAAGCATGGGTGGAGCCCCATTTCCTCCTGAGCAAAGACTGGCTGACCTCTGTGCTCAGCTTTCTCCTGCTTTTCAGCTTCCTCAGGCTTTGGTGCAGCAGTACAGACCTGCCCTCACCTGAACAACCTGGGCTGAGATTCAGCTGATTTACCTTTGTGTGTATTGCGGAGGCATTGATATCTGATCTAGACATCCAGAAAGAGCTGCTTTTAGGGCACAGTTCATCTGATCTGTTCTAGACATCTTGTTTTTAATATGTCACCCCCAAAGTGCGTGCTCTTTCTCCCCCATGACAACATGGGGAGCTTGCAGTGACTAGTTCAGACAAACCGTGTGTGAATGGAACCCAGTGGGGGCCATGCCCATGTTCAGCCTTTCATCTGGAGCCTTTTGAAGGGCCTGTTGTGGCTGGGGGTGTCAGACAACTAATCATTCAGGGCATGTGCAATATGTAGTTGTGGCTGCTTGCTGTTAAAATGCTAGTTCCATTATAGCATTCCAATCCCGGTCTCATAAAATAACCTAAGAGTCAGATTTTTGCTCAGAGGGAGGAGGATTGTTCCCCTTGTCTGACACTCCTCCTTGGTGTCTGATCCAAGCACCATCACCTGCTCCTAGTGAGCAGTCATGAAGTGGCAGCCTCCTGGGGAGACATTTTCCATCTCTATAGCTGAGGTTGTTCTCATGTGTAGGTCTCTTTGAGACCATGAGCAAATACAGTATCAGCACTTTTACATTCCTTGATAAAAATGAAGTTACACTGCCAGAAGCTGAGACTTCTGATGTTTATTGCAAGTGCTATTTATAACACCAGCATGAAAGCAGAACATTTATGCATTAGAAGTACATTCAGTTTGGAGAACAGCACAAAAACCTCAGTAACATGGTCACACATAAGCTACTGGGGGAATTAGACTCAGTCAGGAAAAGTGACCTGTGCTCTTTCCTAATCACTCTTGATACTTTCAGAGCAATGTTAATCCACAGGTCTCAAAGCACTTCAGAGGTGTGTAATAGGTAGAGACACAGCAATCAAAACCTGTGGCAGAACTCACACTGATTTTTGTAGACCAGATAAAATTAATGCATAACACGTAATAGACAGCTGTAGGTCAGGAACTGTTGCCCTCAGCCACTCTGTTTGAACCACCAGGTGCCTTTCTTCTTCTTCTTCTAGTCTAAGCTTATCAGTGTCATCACTCCAAAATAAATGGCACCAAAGTTCACACCTTGTATCTGTGTGCGCAGAGACTAACAGAGCTGTTGAAGACTAGAGAGGCTGTTCCCATCATCTAGTCTGACCCTCTACAGCACACAGCAGCCATTCTTGACTTCTGAAGGCTTCAAATGATGGAAAGCCCTCCTGGTCTTAGCTAATTGTTCCAATTATCAAATGCTTTTATTGTGTAGAGCTGCACTTAATCTTTGCTCTCAGTCCATCTAGTGCCAGTTCAGGACACTGAATCTGTGCTCTAGGAGACACTTATGAATGAGAAAAAGCACAAAAGCTGGTTTGACAATTAGAAGAGGTTTCTAACATTTAAAGCTGCACTGCACAGCGTATTATAATTTCTATTTTATGAAAAATATATGTTGCTTTTGCATGTATTCAAAGCATCATTTCACGTATTTTTTGATACAATAAGTAACAGGTGTACATCTAGGTCAGTTAGTTCTATCTTCTCAGCTTTTGCCTTATCAAAGGCAGCCTGGAGAAATGAATGGCTGTGCTTTGGCTCAATGAGACCTAAATTCATTCTTGATTACTTCACGGGGAGAACATTTTCCTCTTAGCTGCAGGGGCAGCTAAGAGGAAAATGGTGCCACTTTTGCATAAAGCTATTGCTCATATAAAGCCTTGTTTTTCCTTGATTTAGTAGATCCCAAGGAAGGAAAGTAGTCCTGCCCAAAACAAGGTCCTGCAGTGAAGATCAGGACAAAGAATTTGTTGGACCTGGAGATCAGCATAGCGCATATTGAAGCAACAGTGTAAGGATTGGTGAAGCTGCAGTTTATGGTCAGCACACTTGTTTACCCATGCAGCACAGACCACAGGATGCTTTATCTTGCCTAAACCTGCCCCCCACCCCCTGCCCCCAGACTCTGAGTATACCAGCTAAACACACCTCAGCCAGGTGCAAGCATTCTGGGCAGTGTTAGCTCTTGGATCTGGTGTCTCTTAAGTCCACGGCACCTCTTTGTAGAACTCTCAGTTGTTCTGAGGTTAGAGTATGTGAGCATCACTATGAGAGTAGTTGCTTTTCACCCAGCTGTTGGCCAGCTGTCAGAGATTACAGCACAAGCAGTGTTGGCTGTGACAATGTGTTTGCATACATGGGTGTTTGGACTATGCTGTGATACCATGTTATGCTGCTGTTGGGGTTTTTTTCCTGAGAAGGCAGGAAATAAGTTTGTGCAGTTCAGAGGCAGGAACAGTAGTAAAGAAAGAGGAGTATTCATCTGTCCCTTTGCAGATTTCCTGGCTGAAACTACAGCCTGTCTCTGCCTCCCTTTAAAAAAAAGGTATTTGCCTCTTAATCACTAAAGTAGAATGAGAATAACTGAGGAAGCAGAGCAGCTGCCCTAGAGAAATGTCCAGGAAAGTAAATACAAATGCCCAAATGCCTTCCTGCCATGAAAACAATGCAGTTAACTTCTTCAGGTAACAAAATTTACTATTTGGAGGTGCCATGTATGCCTATGGGTAGCTTCGTGCCAGAGTGCTAGGAAGATCAGAGTTACAGCAGTACTTCCACTTACTGCAGAGTTTCTCTGTGTCACTGGAAAATCACCTGCATAGGAATCAAATGTATCGTATTTACAGCAAACAAATGCAAACAATAGTGGGTTGGAGCACTGAATGTGTGTCTGGCCCTGTTGATGCTGGAGGGTGAAACAACACTATGACAACCGCCAGGGACACAATAAACTGATAACATGCTAACAGTATAAATCACTCTTTCCCATCTCTATCATTGTGATATTCATTACATGCTGGGTTTCTGATTGTGCAATGAACGAGTATTTGACTGAAGGTGATTGGTGTTTGTAAGGGAAGTTGTTGCTGAGCCAAACCACTCCTTTGGAGCACAGCAAAGGGTCACAACACCATGACGGGTGGTTTCGTGAAGTGTAGGATCCTTGGTGAAATTATCATGGACCTCTCCATCCAGGTCCTTCATTGTATAACAAAAAACAATGCATCTGACAGACTGAATAAAATCTTCATTGACTGTCCCTGCTCAAGTTAAACTGAGTTTTTCTTTCATCACCTGGTATCAGCCCTTAGTTGCCAAAAAA